AGTGGTGCCTCGCAAGACGAAATTAAATCGTTCCGCAAGTTTTTTATTCTTGCGAGTTTTTCGTCTTGCGATGCACGGTTTCCCATAGGAATGCATTGAAAATCAATTAATGCGTTCCTAGGAAACCGACTTCAGACCAGGTCCGGGGACAGTCTGTCCCCCGACCTCTTCTGAAGGCTGGGGGGGACAAGGGCTTTTCTTCCCACCCCCAGCATTTTAAAACCCGGGACAGCGGAGAGCTTCTCCGCTGTCCGAGGCGATCTTAAAATGCTGGCGGGCGGCATTTAAAATTGCCCGGGACAGCGGAGGACTTCTCCGCTGTCCGGGGCAATTAAAGCCCCTGGGAAGGCAGGCAGGGGGGACAAAGACTTTGCCCCCGCCAGCCTTCAGAAGAGGTCCTGGACCTCTTCTGAAGGTTGGCGAGGGCGAAAGTCTTTGTCGAGGACAAGACTTTGCCCCCGCCAGCCTTCAGAAGAGGTCCTGGACCTCTTCTGAAGGTTGGCGGGGCGAAGTCTTGTCCCCCACCTGCCTTCAAAAGCTGTCCAGCCAAGGCTTCGCGGACCTCTCCGCAAGCAGCGGCAGCACTGCCGCTGCTTGCGGAGAGTTGCCGGCATGCCGAAGCCTGCGCGCGCTGAGATCAGCGCGCCCAGGCTTCGCGGACCTCTCCGCGAGCAGCGGCAGCGCTGCCGCTGCTCGCGGAGAGTTGCCGGCATGCCGAAGCCTGCGCGCGCTGAGATCAGCGCGCCCAGGCTCGCGGACCTCTCCGCGAGCAGCGGCAGCGCTGCCGCTGCTCGCGGAGAGTTGCCGGCATGCCGAAGCCTGGGCGCGCTGAGATCAGCGCGCCCAGGCTTCGCGGACCTCTCCGCGAGCAGCGGCAGCGCTGCCGCTGCTCGCGGAGAGTTGCCGGCATGCCGAAGCCTGGGCGCGCTGAGATCAGCGCGCCCAGGCTCGCGGACCTCTCCGCGAGCAGCGGCAGCGCTGCCGCTGCTCGCGGAGAGTTGCCGGCATGCCGAAGCCTGCGCGCGCTGAGATCAGCGCGCCCAGGCCTCGCGGACCTCTCCGCGAGCAGCGGCAGCGCTGCCGCTGCTCGCGGACCTCTCCGCGAGCAGCGGCAGCGCTGCCGCTGCTCGCGGAGAGTTGCCGGCATGCCGAAGCCTGGGCGCGCTGAGATCAGCGCGCCCAGGCTTCGTGGACCTCTCCGCGAGCAGCGGCAGCGCTGCCGCTGCTCGCGGAGAGTTGCCGGCATGCCGAAGCCTGGGCGCGCTGAGATCAGCGCGCCCAGGCTCGCGGACGGAGATTTCCCTATGGGCTTTCGTCTTGCGAAGCAAGCCCATAGGGAAATTCGTTTTGCGAAGCGCCTCCAAAACGGAAAACCCTTTCGTCTAGCGGGTTTTTCGTCTTGCGAGGCGTTCGTCTTGCGGGGCACCACTGTACACACTTTGTCAGATACTCTGAAGCAGAGATCGCTTCAACCTTTTAACTGTTGATGACTGTTATGGCAGTTGGTTCCACAGGGAAGGGCAAAGGATTTTTAAAGGATAGATGACCAAAATTAGTTTTAGTATGTATAATGGGACATGAATCCATTATCTCTATTCAGACCAGGTCTCTCCATAGTTTTTAGTTTGGTAATGAGTTGTATTTCTCCAACTTCTCTTTCAAGTTCTAGTTACATGTAGGTAGCCGTGTTGGTCTGCCGTAGTCAAAACAAAATAAAATAAAGAAAATAAAAAAATTCCTTCCAGTAGCACCTCAAGTTAGTTATTGGAATGAGCTTATCTGAAGAAGTGTGCATGCACACGAAAGCTCATTCCAATAACCAACTTAGTTGGTCTCTAAGGTGCTACTGGAAGGAATTATTTTATTTTATTTTATTTTATTTTGTTTCTCTTTCAAGTGTATTTCTAAAATTATTTTGGAATAAGACAGCCACTCTAAGATCATTTAAAATATGAAGGTGAAGCAAAAATACAAGTTAGACTTTCATTCGTCCTTGGACACATACAAACTATATTTATTAAAATA